CAGCCCCCACAGATTCCCCTTCCCGGGCCCAGCCCTGCCCTAACGTACGCAGGAATTTCCGTGGATTTGCAGAGGCCGTTGCCAAATCTTGAGGGGGTTTTGGCTCCAGCAGCCAACAAGGAACTACTGCAAATCCTTTATTTGCTGCACAAAGTGGTCCCAGCAGTGCCATCTGATTCTGCTCAGGTTCTTGTTTGTTTTAAAATAAAAGGGTTTGGTGACAGTGGCCTGTTGACATACTCTGTGTCATTGTCACCTCTCTCCTCCCTGGGACCAGCCACCAGCAGCCCTTTCTCTGCTCCATCTGCAGGAGTATGTGTTTTCAGACCCTGGGTACCAGTGTGGTCCCTCCTGTGGGCTCCAGGGGCTCTGGTTACAGGTGACTTGTGCCAGGGGTGACAGCAGGGTGCCCACAGGGCTCTGAGCTCTCCAGCACGCTGTGCTGATGACCAGGGTGCTCCAGATGTTATACCTGGAGTATCTCCAGTCGAGGAGGGGAGGGGTGAATTGCTCAGGTACCTGTTAGCACCAAAACCTGGATCCTGAAGATGCTTTCAGGCTCATCCAGCCGGTCCAGCCAGCTTGCATGCAGGTCTGAACATCAGGCCAGTTAATTTGAAACCCAACCATTTAATATCTTCTTGGCATCCCCTTTCTTCTTTGAACCCAGCTTTGGGAGTATAGTTTTTGGCTCATGGTTTTATAGACTTTACTAGAAGCCATAAAAATGCAATAAGTAGGCGTAACATGGTCAGTAAATCCGTGTGTGGGTACGCTGAGGGTCACAAGATGTTGTGTGTGGGTTGCAGCTCGTTACTGTGACCATCCACCACTATCTCCAGCCCCATCCTTCACCCTTATACCCCCAGGCTCTTTTCCTAACACCTTAAATTCTGCTCTGCTGCGGAGAAGCAGTGGCATCTATAAAATCTGTTAGCTTGAGTCCATAGGAGGATGGGGCATCTGGTCCAAATGGCCTGCTAGATACTATTTTCATAAACAGAAAGTGAAAAATCATCCTTTAAATTGGCCTTTTAAAGTTGTGGTGTGCTGCAGGAGAACTCCCCTGTGAGCAGAGCTGGCGGTAGGAGCAGTATCAGCATCCACTGGAGGTTGCTGGCAGAGTTATCTTTCCACTGACTTTCCTAAGCTGATTTATTTATGGACACTGGGCAAGACTAATTTAGACTGGAATGGAGGTAAAGGAAAGATGACTGACTAAAGCCTTTGCTGTAATAAAATTAAGTGTTTTCAGATGAGAAACGCTAGGCAGGATTAATTATTTCTATCTGGTATATTAAAAGGGAGCATATAGTAAAAAATGCCTTCTCCCTTCAGCCAAGTGAAGCATTCAGTTTACAGAGATGATTAACCATGGGAATTTGCTGAGTATATTTTATTACTGTGTAATCTTCTCCAGGGATGGATGTGATCCTCAAGGGTGTTGGGGTCCACTTACTCCTTTTCCTCAAGTGCCCTTGAGACCCACTTTCAGACTAATGGCCTCAGGTTTGTTGTGCTTTTCAGGCTGATCCCAATTTTCAGCCCTTTGTTTAAATGAACCTTTGATTGATAGAGAATTTTTTTAAAATATCATGTCTCTGGCTGGATAAATGAAGGAGTGAATGCTCTTCCAGTGTAATCGAGCTCCTGGAAATGGTTTGGCTCTTGGTGGAGGCTTTGCCTCCATGATTCTTCACCCTGATGCTGCAGGGAGTTTGGGTGGGTTGCTGGCATGTGTGCAAACTCCTCATCACCCAGCCTGGGTTTCTTTCGAGCAGCTATTTGGAAACTTGGGTATTTCCAAAGGAATTAACCCTTGTTCCTGCAAGGGAGTGGAGCCCTGGTGACCTCCCCAGCTCTCAGGGCCCAACAGGAGATGGGCAGGGGACACTGCTGAGGGTGGCCCCTGTGCTTTGTTCCCTTTCTGGCTGTGTCTCCACTGGGCAGCACAAAGCTGGCAGCTTTCTGGGCTAAGTTTCTTGATGCTGTTGGGAGTTGAGGAGGGGTGCACAGCTGTTTTCTGTATTGCTGAAAGGCAGGGCATGGACTTTTCCAAAGGATTGCTCTCCTGTATTAAATTGTAGGATCTCTCCCTTCCTAGCCCAAGGCACTGTCGCTGCAGTCACTGATCTTTATACCTGAACACCAAGAAGCCCTTTGCAGGTGTGTTAACTTGTGTCAGGAAGGAGCGAGCTGCTTTACAGGAACCTGATTTTACCCACTGAAGCAAGGCCAGGAACTGATGGGAGGCTGTGCAGCTCTGGCCATCACATCCTGTTTGGTCTTCACAGAGGTTCAGGGTGTCCCATGTGAGCCTCAGCATCTGGCAGCCTCCAGCTCTCCTGGGGATGGGAGGGGATGCTCATGGGAGCAGGCACAGCCTCTCATACGGTTTGCTGAATTGTTTAAGTGCTGGGGATGAGTCAGGAGGTTGATCTGGACCCGGCTTCCAGTGGGTCTTAGTGGGGTTATACAAACTGCATGACAAATAATTTAGCAGTTATTTCAGTTTCTTCATTTCTGACCTCCTCCAGTTGCTGATATTTGAAATGGTGAGAATATGGCACAAATGCGTCCCAGCGTCCCCAAGCCTGAATTAACTCCAGGGGATTCAGCCCATGCTGCCTGATCAGTGTGGGGACATGAGGTCACGCCCGTAGAGAGGAGACTCCAAAAGTAAAGTTTAGTGGTCCTCTTGAGAGGATACATTTCATATTAATCCTTCAATTAATCACTGTAGGACCAATAACTAGCAATGGAAAGAGGCTGCCGAGTGCTGCAGCACCTGATCATCCCTCCCTGATCCGTGTGTTCCCAGATGGGGGAGGCACCCGCCATCACTGGTGGTGACGTTTCAAACCTTTGAACAGAGTGCCAGCGAGCACGTGGGGCTCGTTAGATGTTTGTATCTTAATTACCTTGATCTTCCATCACCAGTGGCACGGTGAGAAGTGAAGCGTCACTCTGCGAGTGCCAGTTCCCATTAAACCCCAGCACACTCGGTTTAATCAGTGCCAGGAAAAGCTGGACGTCAAGGGCTGGGGGTGCTGTTGTCACCAGCGAGCCCCTGGGCTCCCTGCAGTCTCTGCATCACCAGGGGCTGTGCAAAGCCAGGACCTGAGAGTCTGCACGCAGGTTTGGAGGGGTTTGGGAGCGCTGGGCAGGTGGGTGCATGACTGGGGAGGGGCACTTTGCCATCCCTGGGCACTGGGTGCAGCAAAGATTCTTCTTCACAAGGCACCTGCAGAAGGAAGGTGGAGGCTGCCTGTGGAGCTGACGTGCCCAGGCTGAGGCAGGGGCTGTGTCCCTCACTGGCAGTGCAGTGCTCAGCTCTCAGTGAGCAGTGCTGTGTGTCCCGTGTTAGTGATAACCCCGGGAAGGTTCTGCAGGCACGTCAGCATCCTTATCCCACCGAGGGCATTTCAGTGCTGTCAATAGTGAACGACCTGCTCAGGATACTCCTGTGATATGTACACAGAGCATTAATCTTTGCCCTTTTATGCCAGGGTAAAAATAGCAGCTCCTTCCTCCTGCCATCCCGAGCATCCCGGGCTGGCCGGGTGTCAGACCATCACCTGTTGCAGCTGCCTGTTGGGTGAGCAGCTTGTGTAACTCGGCTTAGGGAGGGCTTACAGGGCTGGCCTCGTGCTGCTCAGGCAGCTCTTTCCAGCCACAACATCCACTGCAGTTGGAGGATTGTTTTTTTCTCACGATCTTTGAGGTCTCTCCTGTAGGACAGCCCCGTCCAGCCTGGCTACTGACCCTCCCAGGGCCTGTTCCTGTGCAGGGATGAGCTGGACGTGGGAAGGACAGGTTCAGTCCTCCATCAACCAATGCATGTTACACCAGCAATTAAACTACATGCCCAGGTCTGTAGAAACTCCAGGTTCATTTTCCTGCCCTGCCACAGATTTCCTTCCTGACCTTGGGCAAGGCAGGTAGGATGCCATTCCCGAGGACAGCTGGGCACAAGTTTCTTCCCTTGGCACTTGCAGACCTTGGAGCATCTGGTACCAGGATTCATCTGGTTATGTGATGGGCACGATGGCTTTGCCCCAGACACATCACAGAGCACGAGGCACTCAGTGCTCTGACATTAACTTACACAGCAGGACAGAAGGCAGATAAAAGTCTTGCAGGCATCAGTGGCCTTCCCAGCTGGCTCTGGTGCAAGAGCAGGGCTGGATCCTCCAGCTTTGCACAGGGAGAAGGGGTTGATGTGCTGCAGCAGGTTGCTATTTGGTTGTTGTTTCTTTGCAGCATCTTTCTGTCTTGGTGTCTGTGCCAGGAGGTGGATTTTGTGGGAGGAAATGTGAGCTGTGCAAATACTGCAGTGAGCTCCAGCTCCCAACTTTGCTGAGATCTGTCAGCTGGCACCACAGGCTGCTTCTCATTTCCAGCTTGTCCTCTGCTTGCATGTCATTAGGCATGACACTGTTGACATGTGCATGGCAAGTACCAGGCATATTGCTGCACAGTTGCCAAGGAAAGGCAGAAGAGCTGACAGCCAGTGCCTGGTCGCTCTCTGGGCAGGGAGTTTGCAGCAGATAAACTCCTCTCCCCACCCCTGTGGTTGTGATTAGACTCAGAACAAATGTCACAGGCCACCCTGGGATGTCCTCCAGTGCCAAGGCTGCCCAAGTGCTGCTCAGCACGGTGTGGATGTGGCACTGCAGTGGCACAGGACACTGGAGGTGTTCGTGGAGTAATGGCTGGGGGGGTCACTGTTGCTCTCAGTGTTTGGACCATCATATCCATTGTAGCTCGTTTTTCTCATGTAGAGTGTTAATTTCTGCAGATGAATGGGAAAACTGTTGCTGTAGTGGAAGGAAAGTTGCCATGGCCCTGTGCTGGGGCCGCTGTCAGTGCACATGGGTTGACTTTGGTGCTTTCATTCTTGGAGTAGGGTTTGTACACGGGCCCCTCCAGGGCAGAAACAGAATATTTTTGTGAGCTGTAGCTCTTTTTCAACCTCTCCTTCTCTTCCTGCCTTCCAGGATCATCCCCCAGCTGGAGAGCTCCCTTTCCCAGGTTTCACCGAGCAGCCTGCCTGGCTCTGAGATCTCGGAAGCCACAAGGACTTACTTGCAAGGAATGAGCCGCTATGACCTGGACGAGCTCGATGCCTGCTGGTTGGAGCTTGTTAACATGGAGCTCAAGGAGATGGGTGAGTACTGCTGTGGGTTTTTTCCTTGCCTGGGGGGGTCCCAGAGTGGGCATTTGGGCTTTTTTGAGTAATCATGTAGGACAAAATCTCAGACATGCTGGTCCTGATTGCCTCCTCACCCAGGTGTGTCTAAATATCACAGCACAGCTGTTATATCACTGCACATTCTTCAGATCCTTCAGTGCATTTTGGTCGAGTGCAAGTACCTGAGCTTGGAATTTGACCATTGGCACTCGTGCTTAGCGTGGTCTGCTGGGCAGATTTGCTGGCACAGGCCCGTGGGTGTGTAGTCCTGCCAGAGCGGGGAGGGATTTTCCAGTCCTTGTTAGGTAAGGGTTGCTGTGATGTGGCTGCCGCTGTGCAGGTAAGAATAACACCTCAATAAAACATTCACCTTGTGAGGTCAGTGAAGGCTGAAGCTTGCCTACATAAAGCATTCCTTGCAGTGGCAAAGGTTCTGTCAGGGGTGGGGCAGAGAATGTCACCAGGTGCTTGAGCAGTTGGGATCGTGCCCTGCAGAGCAGGAGGGTTGTGCTGGGTCTCACAGCTGTGGCTGAGGGCTGCAGGGACATTCAGGAGGAAGGCAGGAAGATGCAGTTCAGTGAGCTTGTCTGGAGCATAAACCAGCTCAGAAGTTGGCCACCACATTGCCTTGATCTTGGAAGATGTCTCTTCTTCTGATGGGCTCATCATTTACAACCAGATTTCGTTACCGTGACCTTGAGAAAGTTACAGGGGCTGCTTTGACAGTTGCTCTGATTATCTGTTACAGGTATCCCATATATTGGAATTCCCATAATATCTCAGCATTGTGGAGCCTGTAGCACCACTTGCAAATCACAATCAGTTTTGCCCTCGTTTAGCTGGTCTTGCCTGAGCAGCCTCAGCTGTGCCATGGGCAGGGGTTTGGCTTCTCCAGCTCGGTTTGGTTAAACTTGGCTGGCTTAAATTTGTTATTTCTTCAAAGTATTAAGGTTTCAAGTGCAGCATCCTAAGTGGCACTGCCTTGCATTTTCCTGCCCGTGGAAGTGGGGGGTGAGGGGCACCCAGATCCCACCCTGGCTTCTCCCACGTGGGAAGCAGAGCCCAGAGGGCTCTGCTTCCCACGTGGGAGAAGCCAGGGTGGGATCTGGGTGCCCTTCACCCCCCCAAGACAGAGGCTTGCTGTGGCCTAGGCTGGTCCAAAGGCTGTCCATAAATAGTGCTTTCTCCCGGAAGCTTTTGGCATTAATGACGCGCTGAGGCTTCCAAACCCGCTTCGCTAATCCCTGAGATCATTAACGTGACTTAACTGGGGAACTGCAGCCTCCCCTTCCATTCAGGGGAGTGTCAGGAGTTATCTCCCAGCCTTAGGAGACAGGCAGAAGTTTAAATTCCTCCCGGGTGTTGGGCTGAGTTGCCGTCACTGGGCAGTCCGGGGGCACAATATGTCATTCCCAAAATATTTAATGACAGAGAGAAGGATCCTGATCTCTGACTGGCTCTTGAGGATCTGCGGGGAGGAGAGCTGGAAAACACCTCTGAGATCATCCAGCTCTCTCCTTTCGTGGATCCACGTAGCACATGCCTTTTCCAGTCCTTTTTAGGTCACCCCAGGGATGGAATTTTATCACTGGGATCAGATAAACCTCCAGATAGCTCCATCTCTCTGCGTTCTGCCTGCTGATTCCTCTTCCAATTAGGTGGAATTGCTGTGAAAAGCGAAACTTCTACATGAAAAGCAGAAGTTTTAAACATAAAAGAGCTTTAAATAGTTTTAAACCCCCCAGTAAGATGCCTCAGGAGCTGTTGCTGTACTTGGTGGAAATGGTGCTGTTTAAAGAACCTCTGTGTGCTAGAGATGAAGTCAGTATTTAGGCATGCCTAAGTGTTTTATTTGTTGCTGCTGCAATATGAGATTGTAAAAAAAGTGGATCTGAAGAGGGCTGAGTGAAACCCTGAGCCAGATTTATGTCCGTGGCACTCCAGGCAGCACAGGCCTTTCCTTTTAGATGGGAGCCGTGCCGTAAGTCTTCGTTTTTTTACATTAACATTTTATGCTGTATTTTGTGATCTCCACTAAATCCAAAGCCATTGTAAGAGCGGGGCTAGAGAGACTTCAAAGAGCATGGCTGAAAGATCCCTTTGCAGTGATCGGCACTTCATAAACACATGGAAAATCCTCAAGAAATTGCTAAAATTGTTGTCGGAATCAATTTTGCTGAAGGCACAGTTGAAGTTTCTAAGTATTCCCTTGACTTAATCCATATGGTGTATTCTGCTCACATATGCCCACCACAGCTTCTATCTTGGGAGCTGGAGGTGTTCCTGGTATTTTATGGCAGGAACATGCAAAGGTCACATGGATTGCTTTTGAAGCTCTGGGGGGAATTCATCGCTGCGTACTTGAGATATGTCTGTGTGCTAATGAGATGATACCTCCCTTGGCAGAGGTGAGATTGGTCAAGTAGATGTGAAATAAGCTGAAGTCAGTGGAGGACCCCTGGGGAAGCTGTGCTCGCTGGGGCAGAGGCTGCAGTTACTCGTGCTCCCTGCAGGCTGATGCTGCCTCCCTGGCAGTGCTGCGTGTCCCAGGCTGAGGCTGCTCTCACCCACTGCATCCTTTTGGGATTCTGGGAGCCCCTTTTTCACCCTGAGGCAGCAAGTTGGCATTCCCCAGGCAGGGACTGTCTCCAGGCGTGCCCATCCCCGTGTCCAGGCTGTGCAGGGCCAGCCCAGTGTAGAATCATAGGATGGTTTAGGTTGGGAGGGACCCTAAAGATCATCCAATTCTAACAGCCTACCATGGGCAGGGACACCTTCCACTAGCCCAGGTTGCTCCAAGCCCTGTCTGAACCCAGCTGCAGGGGATCCAGGGCTGCTGTCCCACCACAGGGGTGCTCCCCAGGCCAGGCTGGCAGGAGGATGGGCAGAGGTCTGTCATTTTTGTAATGGGAACTGTTTCCTTTTACAGCCACAGGGGACCATTCCCAGCCATGGCCCTGCACCCCCTACCCCTCACCCAGACTCACCCTGCTCTGCCACTCAGAGCTCGGGAAAGCAGAGCCCGTTAATAACTCAGGGTCTGTTTGTTTGGATATTGTTATTGTTGTTGTTTTGAAGAAATCCTGCCAGTTTGGAGCTGTTTTTATCACATGTCTGTGCTGCAGCCCACAACAAACATCCGTGTGTAGCCTGGAATCCTGGAGTCCTTGTTCTCCCCAGAGTTTGTAAGCTCGTGGCACAGGTACCATTTCAGCAGCACAAGGGTGGGCTGTGTGGACAGAGGAACCAGCAGACCCTCCACTACCTGGTGGTGCTGTACAAGCAGGAGATATTTAACAGAGGTGCTGATGTACAGTGTAGAAGTATTTTGGGAACAGATTGGAAGCTGCTCTCAGTGTCGCTGTGTTGATCTGGATTAATGCTGTTGGTGTCAAAGGGAGGACTCAGCTGAGCTGCCCAGAGGCAGGTGCCACTCTCACACTTTGCTCTTCGTGTAGGGGTCCATCCCCCAGTTTAAGTCAAGAGCAGAACTCACCTTGTAAGCAGGCAAGTTGGTGGGCTCAGGGGGTAAAGAGGAACAGGACTGATGGCAGTCAGGAATGATGAGGATGAGAGCACACTGCAGCAGGTCCATGGAGAGCTGCTGAAATTATGGTGGGGGTCTTGGAAAGCCAAAGGTGGGGGTGTGGGGCTTCTTCTGCTGTAAACAGCGTCAGTCTCACAAACACCTCCATCGCTGGCCAGGGGTGCTCCCAAAGCAGTGGGAGCTGCTGTGCCCAGGTGAGAACAGGTGAGATGGGACCATCTGCTGGGCTGCTGCAGCATGGGGTGGCTGAAGGGAAGGGAGGGAAAAAGAAGAAGAACCCAAGCACAAATAATCCACATGTGTGAAAACAGCCTTGGCCTTTAAGCTTATCTTTAAGCAAGGAAATTCAGGAATATTTTCAGGTGGCAGTTCCTTAAGTTGCTGGCAGAGGTGAAAACGCTGCAAGCCTCTGGAAGGGGGAGCTGAGCTTATTTAGCTCCTTAGAGAAACAGATAATCTATACCATGTGTAGATTAATGTATTAATTGTATGTATGTGATGTATTAATGAGCAGATTAACAGGGCTGGAGATCAGTGGGAGACCCTTCAAGCGTTTTGCCTCCACATTTTCCAGCACAGTCAGTTCTCACGCCAGGCTGTTGTTTTGCTGTTTCCATAAATCCCTGGCAGTAATTGCAGTAGTTTCCAGCAATACTCCAGGTTTTGCTGGTGGATGGAGCGAGGAGGCTTTCATCAGTAGTGCTCTAGGACAGCTCTGTCAGAGCCGAGCATCGCTGCGGAGAGGCAGCAGCTTATAAAGTGGATCCTGAAACATTTTGTCATCATCTTAAATTTGAGCAATAATTGATGTCGGTGGGTGGCAGAAAGGGTGATAATTGGTTCCTGTAAATCTTTTAAGTGCATTAGCAGGCTGTGTTTGTAACAAAATGTCTGGAAAGTTTTACTGTGGATGCTCAGCTCGCTGTTTTGTGTGTTTGGCCACACTTTACATGCAGGGTCTGTTTATAAATAACATTGGTAAAAGATTAATGTACGATTGCTGCATCTCCCAAGCGCTGTGTGCCTGCATGTGGGGTAGGATGGAGGTGACTGGGGCAGTCCCAGATGGCCCAGTGTGGCATTCAGGTGGTTGGCTCTCAGCCCCTAGCATCCCTGAAGGATGCTTGGGACGGGATGTTGGAATGCCCAGGGGGTCACCCAGCCCAGGGCAGGGTGGTTGGTGTCCCCTCAGGTGCCAGAGCAGGTGGGTTTGAAGAGTCTTGCCTGGGGCGAGCTGGAGGGACAGTGAGCTGGAAGGAGATCCCTGGAGTCTGTGATTCCTGTGCCATGTGTGAACACCCCATTCCCATCAGGGACCTGTCATTCTTTCACTCCCAGTCTCTCAAAGAGAGTCAGAGACAAGCCTACATCATCTCACAAGTGCTTTCCCCCTTTTTTTTATTGTTATTATAAAAAGGCAGTAATTTTGCTTGTTTATAGATATATTTTTACTGAAAAGTAGACTTCCAGCTTTATAGGTTGTGAATCAGCAAATGGCACAGCCTGCAGTCCTGATAGCTGCTTGTTCATGAGCTGCTTCTATCTCCATGTATTCTCCACAGGGGGAAAGGATTTATTGTTTCAGTAAATTGATATCAGTGGAGCACAGTTCAGTCACAAACAGGTCTCAGTGTTGTGAAAGGTGGCTCTCCAGCTGTTTTTTTCCCCTCCCTGCACAGTGAGTTGGCTCACACCACGACAAGGAGTAGCTGAGAATTCATTTAGCAGAAGAATATTGCTCCTTCATGCCACATAAATTACGGCCTTACAGACGTAATTGTAACGGAGAGCGGCGTTGTGTGAAGGAATGTGCCCGGTGCTCCTCCCAGACACGGCGCTGTGGCCCCGGTGCCAGCCCAGCCAGCCCAGCCCCTTGGGGATAAAGCATTTACAGTCCGTGTTTCGGGTGCTGGGCGGGCAGCTGGGGGAGCTGAGTTGCGTGGGGTTGGGGCTGGGCCCCTTGGAAGCCCCCTGGGATAACTGGAGGGCTGGGTGTCTGTGGAGCTTCGGGGGTCGTGGCGGACCCTGACAAAGATACAGTGAAGAGTTTCTTGCTTGGAGCAAAGTTCCTTCATGTTTGCCCTTCCTGAATCAGATCTGGAGACCTCCTGTGCTGCGTCATCATCCATTTCTGAAGCAAAGTCCCCCTTTCTGATCCTTCCCTTAGCTGGGGCTGTGCCACCCCCCGGCATCCTGCCCCGTGTAGAGAGGGGACAGCTTTTGTCCATCTGGGATGCCATGGGAGGCAGCGTTCCCTGGATAGCAGCCCTTCCCACTGCAGGGTAATGCCAGGGTGTCTGGGGGGGGGCTGGGTGGCTACATCAAAGCCCATCATCATTAACACAGTGCTAACGAGGAGAATGTGCAGGTGGCCTACTGGAAGGGGTGATGGGACATGGAGCCTTTTCCTCCCGTGTCGGTGTTTTGGAACATCGCTCCAAATCGCTGGTGGTTGTATTGGCATGCGATGGATGTCTCATTCCTGCCTGCATTCCTCTGGACAGAAACTCTGGAGGAGTTTGTGGCTACACTGCCTTTCTCAGTGGAGGCTCAGAAAAGCTTCGTTTTCTCCCCCCCCTTTCCCTACAAGACCTTGGCATACCTTAACCAAAAGGTGAAAGTAGTTCTGTTGGCCAGCAGGTAGAGTCCACTGTCCCGGTGATGGTCACAAAACGTGGATGTCACTGGATTAATCCTTTGCAGCCAAGACCAGTGTCTGTGTCTTTACTTTTCCTTCCTTGGGGACGGCAATAGTGTCACTTGTGCGTGTGCACAGGGTTTTTGTGTTTGCCACGGTCAATAACGAGAGCGTTTTCGCAGCCAAGGAGGCGACAATTTTATGAATGGAGTTTAAATAGCACGAACCTCGTGTGATGCAGGAGGAGATAAATGGAGCACAAATGGAAAAAGCGCTTCACCCCCAGGCCCCATTGTTTAGTGCTTCATAAACGATTAATCGCTCCATCCCCATCAAGTGCAATTGTCAGTTCAATAAGCTCGGAGGTGCCGGGAATGACGCTTGGCAAACGCGTCCCTCGTGTAATCACATCTGAGTGGAGTGGCACAGCGCCTGCGTGGGTGGGACCCACGGATCTATATTCTCCCAGCTGATGGTGCAGCAGCCACACGGCTCAGAGGCTGATAAGGGAAACCCCCCCACTCCGAGGGGCTGCCCTTGCTCCGGCGCGGGAGTTTTTGGGATCAACATGAACTTCCTTCCCAGGGTTAAGCAGGTGATGATGGAAAATGCAGGAGATGGGATGGGCGCCAGTTCTTTCCACTTGAGGTGAAGCGGAACGGTGGCAGTGCCAGCGTGATCCCGACCCTGTGGGCAGGTCAGGGTCATGGTTCCTGTGGAAAACGCCCTCCCTTTCCTTCCTCGTGCTGCCTGCAGCTGCCAGCTCTCTGCCTGCCCTGTCCTCTGAGCTCAGGGCAGCTCTGGAAAGCACGTGGGAAAAAAACACTGGGAACACCTTAACACTTTCTAGAGAAGCAGAGCCTGAAATGTTGGGAGGAAGAGAGTAAATCCAGGCTGGCACTCCAGTGCCCAGGCTCGCAGTGACAGACAGGGAGTTGAAACCCTGACCAAGAGGAGGATATTCTTGCTGGACTGGTTTAATGCTCGCATAAAGTCGTGTTGAGCAAGTGCACCTTGGGTGGTGTGTTTATGAAGGGACTCCATTAAGGCAAAAATAATGCTCTGGCTTTCTCTGTAGCATACATGCAGTGCTAGGACAGGTGGGAGTGGCCTAAAGTTGAAGGAGGGTGGATTTAGATTAGATATTGGGAAGAAATTGTTCCCTGTGAGGGTGGGCAGGCCCTGGCACAGGTTGCCCAGAGAAGCTGTGGATGCCCCTGGATCCCTGAAGTGTCCAAGGCCAGGCTGGACGGGGCTTGGAGCGACCTGTGCTAGTGGAAGGTGTCCCTGCCTGTGAAAGAGGGTTGGAACGAGGTGATCTTTAGGGTCCCTTCCAACCCAACCCATTCCACGATTTTGTGCTTCCTGACCTGTTGCGTCCGACCGGCGCCGTGCCAGGGGCAGGACGGTGGCTGTGCCCCAGCTCTGGTGCTCAGGACTCGCCGTTCTAGAGCAGGATGCCTCACATTGCCGAGCTCCAGCAGCCCCAGGCAGGCAGTGCCAGCTCCAGGGGCTCTGCCGGGATCGCGCGCCCATCGCCGGGGCCGCTCCGGAATCCAACAGGTACCGGCAGGTTCCTCGGCGTGTTGCGGCACAGCAGCTCCAGCTCTCGAAAGGGCTGTGATAGGGAACAGTGTTGTCTGTCTTAGATGGTATCTCAGACTCGACATAGACGTGTAAAATGCCAGGCTGGATGTTTGCAGAGACTTGTCAAGCCAAGGGAAACCGTGCCAATGCGAAACATTGGGGAAGAGCTGAAAAAGGCAGACAATGGTGTGTGTGTGTGTGTGTGTGTGTGCGCTCGCCGAGCTCGCCTACGGGATGCTTTCCCCCTTGACAGAGTTTTTTTAGCCGGTCGGTGGCTGTGGGGGAATCGTGCAGGCTCTGCCAGGCCCATCCAGCCAGAGGTGCTGGGAGCACTGTCTGGAACCCCCTCAACCCCAGCCCTCCCCACCCCTGCGGGCTTCTCAGGGCTCCGGAGCTCAGTCCAGGGCAGGACATCACACTGTGGCTCGAGAGGAACTCATGTTTTTCACTGAACATTTAATTACTAACTGCTCCTTATAAGTGCTTCATCCAGCCTTTTTTTCTCCCTCTCTGCTCATAAGTGAGGTGTTTTCTCCCATTTCTTTGCAGGAAGGAGGGTGGACAGCAGTGTGGGTCATGCTCCTCCACTGTCTGCCCCGTTCTGGGCAATACACACTAATGAAATGCAAAGTTTATTGTTTTGTGTTGCATTCTGCTGGTACTTCTGTCCTCATCTCTCTGCCACCTTGGGTGATGAGATAGTGCTCATGGGAGGAGACAGGGTGTGGTGAGGGCTTAACTCTCCTCTAACCCTTTGCAGAGAGCCTCTCCCCTGCTGCTGAGAGATATTTTTTTCCTTCTTTTTTTCCTTACCTGGAGTGACCTCACAATGTGTTTATGGCACCAGGAATTTTGTGTGCAGGTGAGAAGTGTCACTTTTGGGGCCAGCATTCCGTGTGGCACCACTTCAGTGCTGCTGAGCTCCTGGCAGCAGCATCCCCCTTCTAAAGGCAGCTGGGTATTCCACTGCTAGAGGTTGCTGCTCTGAAAAAGCCTCTCCTGGTTATTGTCCTGGTATTCCTGGTTGTCTCTGTGGAGAAAGCTCTGGTGAAGCATCTCTTCCAGAGGTGTTAAAGATCCTGGTGTGGGGGGAATAAAAGACCCACCTGGGTCCAACCTTCTGATTCTGCTAAACCCAACCAGGAAAAAAACCCCCTCATTTACCCTCAATTTCCGCCTTTGGCTTCAGTTTTACAGTTCCATTTAATTGGCTTTAGAAGGGTCAGTTTTCAGTCTTAACAATTAAAGCACTGGCTTCGTGTTGCCAGAGCTTGTCTGAGCCCTCGCTGCAGAAAAAGCATCCTTGCAAAACTTGTCTCCTTGAACATTTAAACTGTCAGCCCCAATTATCCGCATTGCTTCAGCTGAATGGGTTTCTTTCCTCTCAGCCAGCAGCAATATTTTGTTGCTGTCTGTGAAATAACAAACTGCATCCCGGGTTCAGGAGAAGCCGTTTTCCGAATCGTCGCTCCTCCCGCCGCCGTGGATTTGCCTCTGGAGCCGCGATGGGAAACGCTCGGCCCTTCGCGAAGCGCTCCCCCAAGGCGGGAGCTGCATCCCCGGCTTCGCCCTCACCCTCTGCCTTGTGCCTTGCAGAAAAGCCTGAGCTGGACGAGATCACCCTGGAGCGAGTGCTGGAGGAGCTGGAGACCATGTGCTACGAGAACATGAACATCGCCATCGAGACCGAGGAGGGCCTGGGCATCGAGTACGACGAGGACGTGGTGTGCGACGTGTGCCGCTCGCCCGAGGGGGAGGACGGCAACGAGATGGTGTTTTGTGACAAGTGCAACGTCTGCGTGCACCAGGTGAGCCCCCCATGGCAGGGCTGGGCTCTGCTGCTCGTGCTCTGGGACCTGCCCCTGGGTTCCTCCCATCCTCACTGCCCCTGGGCTGCTCTAGACTCCTGTTAAGCTTTCCTGATGGATTCCCAGGCGGCTCCAGCGGAGCGGAGCATGGCACTGGGGTTTCGGATAGCTGGCACTCAGCAAACTTGCTTTTCTTAGTTCTTTACCCCCAGCCCTTTGTGAGTGCCCACAGAAATGCACAACAGGAGGCTGAATTTCTCCTTCCTCCTTATTCTCTGGTCTCTGTGGTGTTTTGTGTCTCCTCATCCATTGCTACACTTATTCTTCTTTCTTTATCCCAATTTTTTTGAACTGCAGCGGGACCTTTAGCACCCCAGCCCCGTGTACAGGGCTGGCTGGTGGCTTGGTGGGAATTAGGTCTGCATCTCTGTGCTCACCAGAGGGGTGGGATTGCACAGATCCCCCCAGCCTCTTCCTCCACTTCATCTGGGGGGTGGGGGGACCTTTCCGCTCCACCAGCTCTGTCTCACATTGCAGGGTTTCTGTCCCAGCTTCCCCGCTGTATGAGCGTGGGATTTCATTTTATTTTGCTGCCTGGAGGAAAATAATTTTATTTTTAGAACTGAATGCAAATGCTTCAAGCCCTTGCTGGGGGGAGGTCTGTGGGCTCCTGCTTTTGGGGAAACCTTGTCAAGGAGGAGGCAGCCAAGTGAGGGTCTCCTGGGTCCCACGTGGGCCCAGGGAGGTTTTATTGGTCGTGCTTTGAGGGGAAGCAGCGTGTGGTGGGGGACAACAGCTCCTGGGCTTCACCCTCTGTGTGAAGGGTTTTGGTTTTTTTTTTAGTTCTAAAGAGAGCCATTTGCTCATCTTTTGGGCAGCTTTTCCATCAGCGCTTCCTGGAGGTGGGAGAGCACTGGAGATATCTATAGTTGCGGGAGGTGGGTGTTTTGAATGGTTTCCATCAGTGAATCAGATCCCACAAAACACCAGAATGATTCAGGGTTGGGGTTGGGGTACTTTTTTTGTGCTAGGTTCTTTTCTGACGAGCCCGAGTGGCGGTGTCAGGCCGTGGGCTGGCGTGTGCCCCAGCAGGGGCTCGGGGGGAGCTGTGGCACCCCGTGGGCTCCGCTTTCAGCAGCAGCCCCAGTGCTGCAGGAGGGGACACAGCAGGATGGATTTCAAGCCTGCTGAAAGAGGGATTTTCCCTTGTTTTCAGGGAACAGAGTCCAGCCCTAAGCCCTGTGCCAGCCCATAAACTGCCCCTGATTTAATCTCTGCCCCAATTTACACCCTAAGCCACTAAGCCAGAGCCACAGTGCAGGGTGTTAACATGGCATCGTGGTGCTTACCTAACCTGCCCTGTGCCTTTGCCAGCCCCACATCCCAAACCTGCCAGGGACCACGCATTCCTGCAGGCACAGGGGTGCTGGTTGTCACCCTGCCATCCTGCACCCCATGGGGAAGGGGCTCAGGACCACACGCTGGTGGGTTGCAGTGCCAGAAGGTATCGCTGTAATCATCTCATCTGCATAACAAGCCACGAGGCTCGCTATTAATTAATTCCCACGAAGCGTGGCTCTCAGGAGGCACGTGCAGTCGTTTTAAAATTGCCAGCGAGGTGGAACCCCACCCCCTGCTGCTAAATCACGGTTCACTGCTCTCACAGTGGCAGCCTCACACTTCTGTTCAGCGCTGGAACGATCCACCTCCAGTTTCCAGCCGCCGTGCCACGATCCTGTCAGTACTGAATTCCCATTCCCTGGTGTGGGCACGTGGCTGAGCCCGCCCTCTGTTCCATGGACCACACCAAGCTTGTCTAGGGCTTGGCATCCTCCCCGTTTTTTTGGCACCCCCTTCTCGGTGCTGTTGCGCCTGTGACAGACAGGGATAGAAATAAATAGCTGCTCTGCTCCTATTCAGAGCCCCTCTGTCTCCACGTTCCACCTTTTGCCTGGTGCTGGGCGTGGGAAGGTGTGTTTAGCTGGTAATGCACCTCGTTTCTAAGCTGCTCCTTGTCCAGGACATAGACCCTGTGGTATTTGCTCCTAAACAGGAGAGTTGCACCTTCAGCTGCTCTAAAACCACTAGAAATAAATAACCAGGAGCCAAGAATATTCTAGGGATGGACACCTGGTCATAACTCCTGCTTTCCCCTGGATTTTGAGATCAGTCTGCCAGTTTACTCTCCTGGTAGTACATATCAGGCTGATTCTTGTCTGGTACTAAATCACGTGCTTTATAAAACTCTGTTGCAGAGATGATTTATCTGCCAGATTTGGAGGCACTGTGAAACACACAGTTAAGTCTCTCTGAACCGTGTAGACTCACAGCAATAATATTACCTCCCTTAATTCCTTGTTATCCCAATAATCTGTTCATAAAGTGGCTTTTCCCCCTTGGATTTTGCTATCAGAGTCAATTTGTGATTTGGGGCAGCCTAAAGTCACGTTATAAAGTCTGTTCTTGGCCAGTAAAGACTGAAGATGTGTTTTTCCCACACTCACCCATCTCCGTGTGCCCCCTCTGTCCCCGTCCCCTCTTGCAGCACTGTCACTCATGGTGACAATGCCCTGCAGCAGCAGGATGAAAAGCTGTTCTTTTTGGGGGTAAACTTGTAGAAGTGGAGCCGACAAATGCCTGGGCTCAACGTGAAGCCACCAGCGCTGGGGGTCCTTGTCAGCCCTACCCGCTTGCCTTCTGCAGGGATGTCAGAGCAGCCAGATCTGCAATTAATTACATGTCCTCACTTTAAATAGTGACACAGCCCTGTGTCAGTGCCCAAGGCAGTGTGTGTCACCCTCTGAAAACCCTTTAAGTGCGAGTTATCAGGACCTGCTGGTTAAAAACTGCCTGGGTTTAGTAGTAGCTGTTTAATGTAATCATGAATTACGGTCAAAGTGGAAAGTGGTTTATCATTATGTGATACAGCTTAGCTTATCATTTGGCTCTTCCCCAAGTACAGAAGAGAAATGTTTATGAAACACTTTGGCTTCTCTGCATGCTGTGTTACCACAGCAGGTCAGGGAGCTCCGTGGGCGACCCAAGTCCTTCAGTTCTCACTCTCTTGGCCATGCCTGCTTTAGATGTGTCATCCTTAAGATTTATCGCCCTCTTTGGTTCCTCTCATCTAATTTACATTCATGGCTATTGGTTTCCCCTTTTTACCTTTCCGTAGTTATTTTTGCTTCCTCTTTGGGCTGCTCTGGGTCTGTAACCAGTGTGACCAACTTTCTTAATCATGGGCTTGTGGCTTTTCAGCCCTCAGTGACCTCAGTGGATTTCTCTGCGCAGCATTTCTTACTTCTCTGAGTTGCCATGGGTTTGGGAACAGGCAGGAGCTGAGTGGGCAGATATCCAAACCGCAGAGCTGCCGGTGGTGGGTGCTCTGATGGAGCAGCCTGGTTGCCCACTCCCAGCCTGGAATTTTTAATTAAAGCTCTGGACATACTGGTCTGCCACGGGTATCCATGTGAAAACAGGGAAGGCAGTAAGGAAGGAAGGGCTTAACCTCACTGTCTGTGGCTTTGGCGCTGCTTTGAGCCTGCTGTTTGTTGGGGTGCAGCGGCCGTAAGAAAGGTGGGAGTGACTGACGGGGGAGGTGTGGGAGGATGCTCATCCCGGCTGCTGGGACTAACCCTCCTCCCTGCTGTCTGCACAGGCGTGCTACGGCATCCTGAAGGTCCCCATCGGGAGCTGGCTGTGCCGGACCTGTGCCCTGGGAGTTCAGCCCAAGTGTCTGCTGTGCCCCAAGAGAGGGGGAGCGCTGAAGCCCACGCGGAGCGGGACGAAATGGGTCCACGTTAGCTGTGCCTTATGGATTCCTGAAGTAAGATGTTCTGCAGCCTCCTCGTGACACGTGGCTGGGCACACACACCTGGCTTCGGGTCTCGGCCCAGACCACTCGTTAATGGTCTAAATAGCAAGCCCAGGTTGGCTCGTTAGGCTGTGCCAGAGCGATGCGAGGCAGTCAGCGGGCCGTGTGTTTAATTAGCAGCCAAGGGGCACCCTGTGAAGGGAGGGCACAGAGCTGGGGGACGTAACTCTGTGTGGCAGAGTAAAGCTAATTTCCTGTGCCCATTTGAGATACAAACCAACATCCACAGGAGGAATTAATTCAGAGGAAACACCAATATACGTTTTTCCTTCTGTTTCGTCCAGATGTGGCTTTGGGTTTTTTTTCTTAGTCAAAATTGCAACTGACCCCAAAAAATAATAAATGTAATCCATCCCTCTTTCAGACTGCCACAGACACCCCCTTGTAGGAGATGTGGGATGGTAGCCAGTATTTACAACTTGTCTTCTGTCTCGTGGCCAGGTTAGCATTGGATGTCCTGAAAAAATGGAACCCATTACGAAGATCTCACATATCCCAGCAAGCAGATGGGCTTTGTCCTGCAGCCTCTGCAAGGAGTGCACTGGGACATGCATTCAGGTATGTAGCTTGGCACTGAAGACACTCAGACCTCCAGGGTTGTGCCTGTGTCAGCCACTGGAGGTTCTGGAGGTGCTGGAGGACACGGTCTGGCCAAGGCTTGTTTCTGCTCTGAGTAAACCTAACAGCATCAGTTCAGGCATCATCAGATGTTGTTTGCAATCACTTAATGCACTGAGTGCTAGAAATCTAGATTAACTTTCTTTGCATTACACAGTGATGTAGTGACACTAATTACTGGGGCTGCAAATGGCCTGGGATTGGATCAGGAATTTCCAGCAGAAGAGCTTCGTGGAGCTGCCAGGAAAGTGAGATGCTCATGAGATACATAGCCCAAGTATTTCACAAACGCTTGGGGTTTCAGCTGGGGGGATATCAGGGAACCCCAGGCTTGGAGGGTCCTCACTAGCCTGCTGGCTTGGAAGATAAAGCATGTTCTGCATTTCCACATTTTCTGTTTTGCCACACCTAACCAAACTACTGCAGAGATGCAGTACTGCTGATTGCCTGCCCTCCCTGCAGCAGCAGGGACAGACATTCTCTTTTCAGGTGGAAAGCAGGATGCTCTGGGCTTTCTGTTGGAAAAGCGGGACAGAGCTTCCCACCCTGTGATCCCTCTACTTGGGGAGCAAAGAGCAGAAGCTCCCATCCAAAATGCAGCACACCTGGTGTGAGAGCATCTGGGGAGCCTTGCTGAACCCCGGGATTGCCCCTCCTCCCCCCTGCTTGGCCAGTGTGATGTCCTGGGGATCCCTGGGGATGGGCTGGAGCATCTGCTGCTCTACTGTGCCGGTTGCTTCCATTGGCAGGGCGGGCACTGGAGCAGCCTTGGCATGCAGGGGGAAATGGAAGAGCCATTAAGCTTTGAAAAATGGAGAGAAAGTTTGGGCTGTGCAGCACGAGCTGCACCAGGGAGGTTGGTGTACACAGTGGTGATGGTGGGGGACCAGAAGCAGCTGCCTGTTTGCAGAAGGACAGCAGGGACAGGAGGTCTGCAGGCTCCACTGTGTTTATGCCATCGTCTTGGGTTTAAGCCTTTAAAGGGAGCTATTTAAAAAGTAATCCCCGTAGTTTGAAACGAAATTTCACAATACTTCTTTAAATCTGTAGCACTGAGTCACTTCTTTTTTTGATGGCTCTGGGTGCTTATTCACCCTGCCAGATGGAGATAGTGTGTCAGAATGGCAACTGCTTTCAAAGAACAGAGGGGCAGGGAAGGAGGCAAACAGGCTTGGCAGCATCAAAAAGAATTCAGCGTCTCTCAGGCTTCATCCTCTTAGTGCCAGCATGACACAGGAGCCGTGAGATCCCGGGGTCTGGGTGGATTTGCATTAAAGGTCACCTGAGATGGAACAGGAGCCTTCTTGTCTCATCTGCCAGCAGTTCACAGTTTATAAGTCTTGGTGAAATTGTCACTGGAGCACTTGCCGAGGCCACCCTGGCGTGTGCAGGATGGTTTTGCTTCAAGGGAAAGGGGGAGAAGTGAAAAGAAAGCAGGCAGTGCCCTTATTTAAGGATTTATGGGGTAAATCAACACCCATGGATAAATAAATATGCTCTGTACTCTTCAGTGGTGCAGAGCTCTGTTTTGAAAGCTTGTGTTTATGGAGCATATTTTGTGCTAGTGCCTGTTTATGCAGGTGTGATCCACCTTTGTCAGCATTTCGGGTTTGTGACCCAGCTCTGAAAGGAGGGGTCTTTTGTTTTCTGCAAAAGCACTGGGTGTTTGTTCTTGGCAGCAGGAATCAGGTGCTGCAGGTGGGCAGGTCTGGGGAAGGAAGGACAGTGCTTCCAGGAGGGGGTTTTCCAAGTGGGCAGTGGGTTTCGCAAAGGTGAAATCCAGGAGGCAGACTGGAGGGAGGGGGAGGCTGTCATCCCAGCAGGGCATGGGATGCTCAGAGGCAGCACCACAGCTAAAGAAAACACCCACCTAAAACCACATTTGCAGAGACAAATGTGAGAAATCTTTGCACAGGCACCTCTGTGTGTGGAGGTGTTTGTCCCCACCCGAATTTGTCCATCAGAAGGGAAACAAACCCAGGGCAGCCTGAGGAAGGGCTCCCCACTGCTCTCAGTGCCTCTGCCCTTGCTGATTGCATGTAACTCATCCCTTGCCTCCTGGTACAGAGCTGTGAGCCCAGGGTAACTTGGTGTGGCTGTAGCTGAGCCAGAGCTCCCGGATGCTGCAGGGATGCAGTCCTGGAGACAGCCTTTCGCTAGCTCCTGTTCAGGGGAAGTCATTATTTCATGGTGGTTCTTGTGGTCAGACATCGGGAGATGCCAGAGAGCTCAGTATGCAGCAGGAATTTTCTTGTTTGCATTGCTGAGGTGGAAAGGAGAGTGCCAGGAGCCAGGATCTGGTGCAGCCCGAGTCCTGACCACACTTTTTTGGGACCCAGCTCCCTCCTCCTCACTTGTCAGAGAGACAGGGAGAGGTAACTGAGGCAGCATGGAATGCCAGGGCTCTGTTATTTGCTGGCAGGCTTCTCCAAAGGGCACAGTCTTCTGCTGCCATCACCTTCCAGCTTACCTTTTGTTGTTTTTTGGAGGAAAAGCCCTTGGAAATGTCCTCCACCACTCGCTTGTCCATCGTTGCTCCTCTGCTCTGCTCCCCTCGAGCTGCTTGTGCCACTGGTCCCCCTCCCCTGGGATAACTGGTGTGGTGGTTCCTGAGGCTGTCTTGTGGTTGTGCCTGTAGCCCTGACAAGGCACAGGGTGGCAGGAGGGGAAGGGCAGTGTGTGTGCCCCGTGCTGCCCCCCATCCTGGGGGGTGTCTGGGGGGCTGGCACTGCCTGTCTCGGCTGAGCAGCTCTGCCGGCGTCCAGACCATCTGTGGTCACAGAGAGCCACGTGGTAGCTCTGTAAGGATGCAGAAGTGTTGTCTCTGATGGCTTGGCCGGCGTTCAGCACCGGTAATTAATTTTTCCTTCCTGAGCTCCCCTCGCAGGTCTCTTGGAGGAGCCGCTTCCTTCCCCTCCGGCCCCAGACTGCAGTGGAGCACCACTGCAAGCTGCTGAACTTCTGTTTGAATTTCCTTGGCAACTAAAACCATCCCTCTGTTTCTTCCCAGGAAGAGTGATTTGCAGGCTAATTAACAGCCCACGTTCATCTCTGGGGCAGTTTTCACCCTCTCTCTCTCTCTCTCTCTCTCTTGGAATTGTGTTTGGGAATGGATTTGCCTGGATAAGCAAAGCGTGCTGAAATCCTTGAATGGAAGGCGCTGTGAGATAACGAAGCACGATCAATAACGAAGCCAGTTCTTGAGCCTGGGTTATTCTGGGTGGCAGATCCTTCCCTGCCATCACGAGTGGCTTCATTCCAGCGCCGTTCTGGGACGGATCAATATGTTTTTATCCTTAGTTTATCCAAGGTCCTTCAGTAGCTGTGGCCAACCAGGTACCTCTCTTTGTTGCCCTGTCAGCTGAGCTGCCTGATTATTTTCTGTTTGCATTTTGGGCACTCTTTCTGATGAGTGCTGCCTGCCATCTGTCAGAGGAGAGATCCAGGATGGGCGTCACTGGATTTGCTTTATTCCTAAGGTGGAGTGATGGTCATTCCTGTTAGCAGGACACTGTCCTGGCAGAAGACACGGCCGTGTTTTTAATGCTGTTTTTAGCACTGGTGGCAGAAACAGGAGGGGAGGGACATCACTCTGTGTGCTTCAAAAGCCAGTGGGTGATGTACTGACTGCCCTGAGTAAATCTGGAAGCTGCAAGTCAGGCTGGGCTCCCTCTGTCCCTCCCTCGTTGCCAAAAATAAAGAGTGGAGAACGGAGCCAGCGCTTCAGCCGTGTGGGAGGCTGGGACAGGGCTTGTCCCATGGGATGGGCAGGGTGGCAGGCCAGGCCCGCACTGCCTGCTGTGCTGGTGGGTGCCCCAGGCTGGCACGGGGAGCACCAGTGGGTCCCTCACAATGCCAGGCTCCACGCAAGCACCAGCAGCAGAGCAGGGGGAGCTGAGCTTTGCAAGTTATCAGCTGTTCTTGTGAATGATTTCAGACTGAAATTAGGACCAAGTGGCCATATTTAACAGGGTGTCAGAGTTCATAATTCACTTTTATGTGGTACCTAGGGGAGTTAGTGCTCAGCATCGCTGCCTGGAGCTGTGCTGGTACAGCCAGAGCTGCATCCAGCTCTTCCCACTGGTCTTGAAGGCTTTGGAACAGGGCCTGGAGAGCCCTGGAAGTGGAGGACTTGGACAATGCTTACCTGTGCTTTTCCTGGCCCTGGCAGCTGTGTGAGCACCAGCAGATTCATTTAAAAAAGCCAAAGGAAAATATCTAAAAGCAGTGATGTCAAAAGTTCACACCTGGATTCCTGAGCAGGATTCAGGCCTGATGGATGGGATGAAGATTAAAATTTTGTTCCTCAATTACTGCCAGAATATTTTTAGTTTTCTTTTTGAGAATTAAGGTGCAGTAAAAGTGAGTGGTTTGTCATCAACGTCCAGGAAATTTCTCGTGCCTCTACCTGGTCCTTCAGGCCACGAGTGCATCTTCATCCTGAACAAGAACAATTCCTCTGTTAACTCCGAAATGGTGCCTACAGTTAATAGCCCACTTAAAATGTCTCATTATTGCAGTTTAACTGGTCGTTAGCAGCTGGAATAGACTGATTTCTTATGGGTTATGGTTGAAATAATTACCTGACACTCTGAGCCATTAAAAACCAGTTAATGAATAGAGGGGGGGAAGGTGCTGAGGTGGACAGGGGCACACTGCTGATGGGTGGGAGTTCCTCTGTAGGAGAGGCTGATGTTTGTTGCCCGTGGGATTCAAAGTATTTTAAGCCTGAGGTAAGTTAGGGAAATGGTTAAAAAATTAATCTGATACGGGTCTGACAACATTCTAGCCACGTGTTTTGCTCTGGTTGCCTTTTTTTTTTCTTTCTTTTTTTAAATGGAGCTAGTTAGAGTGTTTAATTTCCAGAGGAGGAAGGCATTTGGGAGCATTGGCTGCTGCTTAGATCCCATGTGCACAAATAAACCTTGCCATGTTATCCGTGCTTCCAATGAAAATGGCATGTTGGCCTTAATGGTGGTAACAGAGGGGAGTAGCTTGAGGGTGAAATAAAGATGAGCACTTGTCCATCAGGAGAAACAAATTGACATTCTCGGAGCGTCCCGTAGGCCGGTTCTGTTCTTTGGCCTTTGACGTGTCTCGTTGGGAGAACCTTTTGGAAGCTCCTGGTTGTGGCAGGTGGGAGATGAGCAGGGCCTGTCTCAGGGAAGGATTAAAGGAGGGTGAGGTGGGAAGGTGCCCACTGATAACCTTTTGAACCCTGGGGTTCTGCTTGAGTTTCTGGTGTTGGGCTTTTGGGCGTGCAGGGCTGGGGCAGCGCGGGTGTCACGGAGCACCCGTCGCTTGGGCAGGGGTCACCCGGGTGGCTCTCCTGGGCTCGTGGGCAGCACTTGCTGCCCGTTGGGTTGGTCGGTGCTCTGCCTGTCCCTGAGCCCTGTCCCTGCCCCGCAGTGCTCCATGCCCGCCTGCGTCACCGCGTTCCACGTCACCTGCGCCTTCGACCACAACCTGGACATGCGGACCATCCTGGCAGACAACGACGAGGTGAAGTTCAAGTCCTTCTGCCTCGAGCACAGCACCGGTGCCACCAAGCTGCCCGAGGAGGCACGGACAGAGCCCGACCAAGCCCAGCTGGACTTGGAGAAGGTGACGCTGCGGAAGCAGAAGCTCCAGCAGCTGGAGGAGGACTTCTACGAACTCGTGAAGCCCTCGGAGGTGGCGGAGAACCTCGACCTGAGCGAATCGCTGGTGGATTTTGTCTACCAGTACTGGAAGCTAAAGAGGAAAGCAAATTCCAACAAACCGCTGCTGACACCAAAAACGGACGAAGTGGACAACTTGGCTCAGCAGGAGCAGGATGTTCTCTACCGACGCCTAAAGCTCTTCATGCACCTCAGGCAAGACCTGGAGAGGGTGAGTAGAGCCTTTCCTTCAGTCTGTACCCCACGTGCTCCATCAGGGCTGCTGCAGTGTCTGCTGGGGGCTGTGGACAGCACAAGCCCTGTCCCCTCCCCGGCTAAGTCTGACCCCCTTAAAATCTACGTCCTTTCATCTTCATTCAGAAACGTAGCAGTGCTCAGTGTGTGTACATCAGCCCTGCCAAAACACTGACACTGATGGAGTAAGTTAGTGTTGGTCTCAGCTGGGGGTTCAGAATAACAAATGTGTGCAGTGAGAGTGCCTCAGCAGGGCTGGGTGGATGGGAGGCAGATGATGCTGCAGTTTATGTCCACTATGTCTGAATAGTCTGAAAGCTCAAAATTACCCTGTGTTGCCTCTCAGATGCTTTCCAGCAGCAAGGCACAGGAATGTGTCATCATTTGCTTCCATTAAACATCCAAGACGTGTGAAAGGCAGGAGTGAGAGCAGGGCCAGTGGGACTGGGCATTCCCTGCCCTGCCGCAGCCGAAAGTGGGTCGGCTCCTCAGGGAGCTGCTGGCGGAGGCAGAGCCGTGCCAGAGGATGCAGACAGAGCATGCAGGCAGCTGCAGGTCCCCGTGGTGCAGGGCATCCTTGAATCCTCCCATCCACAGGGGAAGGGAGCAGCTTTTTGGCTGAGGGCATTGGTGGAGCAGCAGCGCTCAAGTGGTGCTGGAGCTCCCCGGGCTGGGCTTGCTCCCTGCTGCTCTCTGTGCACGTGGCTGTCATGGCTGCACCACTGTCAGCCCCAAAACCACAACCACTTCCACCAGATTAGTTGCTGAAGACACTAAAAATGATGTGATGCCCTGTGGACACCCACCCAGGCTGCTTGTGTGGAGGGCAGGAGCAGGGGTGGGGAAAAGGCAGGAAGGGATGGGGAAGAGGCAGGCTGGAGGTGAGGGGGCTGGGGGTGCTGCTGCTCCCTGGGAGGTGAAGGATGGGTGGGGATGCTGCCCCTGCATGTCCCTGAACCTTCTCTCCGAGCTGCTGAGGGTCTGTGGCAGAATTTAACCCATGGGTAGAAAGGTGGTGGGGGTGGGCGCTGCATTCATGTCCAGGTGGGGTTTCAGCTCTGGACCAGCCCGCCCTGGTTCCTTCCTGCACCCACCTCCCAGTGCATCCTGGAGCCTGAGAGCCTTCTCCTGTGTAAAAGCAATTGGATTTGAAGCTATTAATGTCTTCTCTATGGTCCTGTCTGCCTGCATCCCTGTAGTCACTGCTGCCATCACTCTGCCAGTCTGTCCCTGCTTTGTTCCTGCCTTTCCCCCATCGTGTTTCCCTCTCTGTGTGGGGCTGCCACCCTTAGCAGGTCTCCATCACCAGGCCGTGGCAACAAGGCTGCAGCTGCCCATCCGAGGGTGACGGGTTCAACTCCCTTTTCCCCCCTCATCTGCTGCACATTGTAAATCTAACCCAGGCTGCTCTGCCTCCCACTGCTTCCCCTTGTTCCCAGCCTGCTTCCCCAGCTGCAGCGAGCCACTGTGCATCCCCGGGTACCACGCTTTGCTCACAGCAGCTCCTCTTTGATTTCTTTGTGTCAAAACTCAAGTGTTTTACCGGATTTCCCATTTTCCAGAGTTGCCTCCAGGCTCTGGGGGGTGTGCCCATCGGCGTTCAGCCCTAGCTTAGCAACTCCCTGCCGGGTTTCACCGCCTGGCCGTGGAAGAGCTGTTTGTTCTGCTTCCAAGAGAGGAACAATAAACACCAGCTGGATCAAAGTCCAGTGCTCGTATGGGTGATGTAGGTTGAGATCCAACTGTTCCCAGTGCATCCCAGGTGTCTGATCCTGCCTGGCTTCACATACAGACTGTGAGGAATCAAGTCAGGTTGGGATTGGAGACAAGCAGCCTGGAGGGGGTGGCTTTCAGAGGGTGTCCATGGGGCATCAAGTTGGATTTTAGTGTTTTCAGCAATTAATCTGGAAATGGGAGTGATTTCAGGGCTGATAGTAGTCTCTGGATCCAAGAGCCGGGGAGGCAGAAGCGGCAGAGCAGATGACATGGGGACATCCAGGGTGATGGTGTTTCCCTCTGCCATTTCTTACCCCCTGTCGTTTCTGCACTTCACAGTGTCAGAAAATTTAACCTATTGCCTGGGAATCCTAATACATTCCCCCCTATACGTTTTCTTTTTGGCCTTTTTTAACCCTCTTTGCATTTTTTTTAAAGCTTTTTCCCGAGGGCTGGGTGTTGAAATTAACTTGAACAAAAAGCTGTAGTTTTCCAGGCTTTCACACCAGCGTCTAAGCTTGGCTTGGGGAAGCAGCACTGGGTGGTGTTGAGCTGTGCAAGTGTGGGTAAATACCAGCAGTCTCTAAGCAAAGCTAAAGGAATGTTTTCTTCCAGGAATATCAAATCATAGGGAAGAGATACCACCAAACACTTGGAGATTCAGGTTGCCAGAGGCAGTTGTTTTCTTCATAAAGAAATTTCAGTTTGATGTTTTCTCCAATCCAGAATGAAAAAAAGAGATAACATAGTAAAATACGCTCTATAGCTCATTGCCTTGTATTTACAGCTGGGGAATTCAAAAAACAACAACAAAAAAAAGAGCAGCTTTTTCTCCCATATCCCTAAGCATTCCCAAATTATCCTTAGGTAAGACCAGCGTCATTAAAGGATGGCTGCAGTTGTCCTTTTGCCCTCACAGCTTTTTGGGGGCAAATACCAGGTGAGCACAGGACAATGTCCTGTCTTGCTCTGTCACTGTGAGAGGCACAAAACCTCCTGACCACGCAGGGACAGTGACAGTACTCTGCAGAGAGGGGTTTGAAGATGAGAGGGGGGAGGAATCGAAGGCATCAGGATCACACACGAGTGTGGACACACCCACACGCGTTCCTGCCCGTGAATCCCATGCCCCCATTCAGGCCACCTCCTCCTTACCTTATTACAGGCAGCTCTGCTCTTTCAGAGCATCAGAAAGCTGAGTAAATGCTGTCCAATCCTGTTAGCTGCCATCAGCATTTCTGTTCTGCAGCCAAAAGCCTCCACTTCCTCCCAGAGCCTCAGTGCTGCCAGAGCCTGGCTCTCCAGCCACCCCTGCGTGGGGCTGGCAAAGGCATGGCATGAAACTTGTCAGGAGGCAGGTACCAGCAGGTATCAGCAGTAGCCCTGTCATCTCATGCTGCTGGGGTGTTTATCAGCAGCCCCCTGTGATGAGCGGGGTTGAGCCACTGCTGCGTGTGAACAGTTTTCATCTTGTGCTTTGCTGTTTGTGTTTAGAGCTTCACAGAATCACAGGATGGGTTGGGTTGGGTTGGGAGGGACCTCAAAGATCACCTGGTTCCAACCCCAGCGCAGTGGTGAGGGAAATTTCTTGGGCTGGGACGAAATGCAGCAGGGATTTTGCAGGTAGATGTGGAGCAAGGGTGAGTAACCAAACAGAGGGGGCAGATTCGAGGTAGGGAGCTGCACTGGCTGCTGACCTGGGCCAGCATCACTGGGGTCACAACAGGGAGGTTTAGGCTTGGAATCATTCACCACATGCTTTTTCCCATATGTGTTACACAGTTGGGATCGAGAGCCCTCACTGCTAGTCCAAAGGGCCCTGGTAGGAGTTCTGGTGGAACGCAGATGATGGTGAGGTGAAGAGGACCCAATCCCAGGGAGTGGGGATTTCCCTGGGCAGCAGAAGCAGCAACACCACTTGAGGGGACCTGTTTTGACCCTGCCTAAACCAGACGCTGTTTCTTGTGTTTCTGTAGGTAAGAAATCTCTGTTACATGGTGACGAGACGGGAGAAAATGAAACACACCATTTGTAAACTGCAGGAGCAGATCTTCCATCTCCAGATGAAGCTCATTGAGAAGGAGCTTTACCCAGGTCAGTACTGCTTCCCAGAGCTTGCTCTTGCAGCCGCTGTCCCTGCCATCCTCTGAAGCCAAAGTTGGGTGCCCAAGCCCCCCACCCCAAGGAAGCCAGAGCTGCCCCCTGGATGATCAGTGTGCCGGAGTTCCTGTTTTCACAGACCCCTCCTGATCCTCCTCTCCCTGGGAATCAGTCAGAAAGACCAAGCCTTTGCTTAGGTGGGGATGCTGAGGCAGTGTTTGGTGCCTTTGGTGGAGCTGGGGCTGTTTGGGAGGAGGTGGCAGGTCCTGGTCCGTGGCAGCTGCTTCCCTGGCTTCGGGCTCTTTGCATTTGCCTTTGGCTCTGTCAGGAATCAGGGGTTAAGCTGCTGGTGGGGGGCCTGTTGCTCCAGGAGACCAACTCCTTCGGCTCTGAAGGGCTGCAGCTCTCTGCTTCACGTTCCCATTAGCGGAGATCGTGCTGCTGCACGCAAAGCCTCTGGCAGCTTTTAGGAAGGAACCGAAATAAAGTTGGGTTTCCTTTTGTCCTACTTTTTTTTTTCCCTTTTGCACAAGCAGTGCCGGAGCCCACAGCTCCTGCTCCCTCCTCCTTCCCCTCCTTTCCCTTTGGTGGCAGGGCAGAGCAGACCCCATGGCTGCAGAGCAGTTTTTCCAGCAGCAGCATCTGGCGCTTTGGCAGCCGCTTCCGACGGTTGTTGTGTTTGTGGCTTTGGAGTTGTGTTTGAAACCGTCACATGGCTGGGGTTTCTTCAGGAACCGTCTGGGCTGAGCTTTCCTTGACAAAAGTCTCTTTTCACTGAAGTTTTGGAGGCTGAGGAGTGTGTGTGTTGGGATGTTTGTGACTCAGGCCCCTGCGAATTCCTCGGGATGGCCAAAGCCAGGCAGCGATGGGGACAGGGGTGGCTGGACCCCAGGGTTTGCTCCAGGGAGATGTGGGACCTGTAAATCCCGGTCCCTGTGACACTGTGTGTTGCTCTGCATCCTCACTGAACCGGCTGAGCACACGGAAAATGGCATTCCCAGCTGTTCCCAGCGCTGCACATCCATTCCCTGTCAGCCAGGATATCTGTGCCGGGTGGTGCTCCCGGCAGTGGTGGGGTGGGGTGGGAGGTCCAGCTCAGGAATACAAATAGAAGACAAGAAGAACAAGCTCAGATCCTGAGGGCAGGTGCCATGCTGGGTTCTCTGGCTTTCAGGGAGATCACAGGGGACCTTGGGATGTTCAGCTGGGTGAAGCCAGTTCAGCATTTGCAGCTCTCAGGAGGAGACAGGCACAGGGTAGTGTGCCAGGAAGGGGTTTTGAGCTTACCTCCCTTGCAGACAAGGTGTTAGATAGCTGGAAATGCCCCTGGGGGCCTGTGTTCCCCAAAATGCCTTGGGCAGTCTGACCACCAGTGCATGCCTGACGCTCTCTCTGATGCAGTGATGGGGTAGGAGCTGGCAAATCCTCCAAGGGAGAGCTGAGCCAGGGCCTTGCCAGTGGGTTGTAGATGCCAACCAGTGATGGGGAGCTGTGTTGGGGCTCTTCTGATGGTGTTTCAGGGTTATCTGCACTGCCCAGTGCCAGTGCTGTGCAATTGCCTTTCCCCAAAATGTTGTGTGTACTTGAGGAAAAGCACGGCTGCTGTTCCCATGGTGTTTGTTCTGCCCAAAGGTGAGTGATCAGAGACAAACCCCCAGCTGAGAGGGTGGCCCAGCTGGGGACTGATGTGCAGGGATCCCTTCAGACCCTGGGATGCAGATGCTCTTCTCTCCTGCCCCACCTGGCTGGTGTTTGCCCATTCATTTTCCACTCTGAACCAACTGGGATGAGCTGCTTGTCTCTCCTGGGATGGACTTTCTGATTGAGCCTGAGCAGGGCCTGACTGCTCCCTCTGGGACCCAGCTCCCAGGAGTTGCTGCTGCCATAGAAAGGGCCCAGCTGCAGGGATTTGGTCCTGGCATCTCCAGGTGGTTTGGGCATGTGGGTCCCCAATGTGCCAGGGGCACACTGGGGATCTGAATTCCTTTTGTTGTCAGCCCATGGAGTCTCCTGAGCTTGGGAGGAGTTCCCTTGCCAGGTGATGGGTCCTAGAGCTGCAGACACTCAGCACCCAGTGGGACCAAAGCTTTGGATAACTCACTGCTCAATTTTCCAGCATTACAAAGTACTTAGTGGTATGGAAGCAGGGGATGGTTCCATCCCCCCCCCAACAGCTCCTGACAGGGCTGCTCTCCTTACCTGGGGTTCCTTGGAGAAAGGAAGAAGTCCCCGTTATTCCACCCAGATGGGGCCAGTTTTTAACTCCTGTTACAGTAGCCATCGACCGAGATCTGTTCCAAAGATGGTTTTGGCACAAAGGTTTTTTTGGACTGGCTCCCACACAAAACTCAGAACAGGAGGGGTTTATTTTTCCCGCTGTCAGATGATCATTTAAGCAGAAGATTCTTAATAAAATCAGCGAGAACTGCCCATGTAAAATGAACCCCCCTCTCCTCCCTGTATTTTTCTTGCACGGAGTGAAAAGTAAACAGTGTCTGGCTTTGAAACACGGCTACTATTTTGACAGGTTCCTCCTCAGAAAGTGCTGCTCGGGTTTCTCTTCAGCCCCGTTGTGCTGTCTAAACAAAGTTTAAGATTTTGATTTTGTAAGCGAAGTGAAAAATGTGTCTGCCTTCCTCCCGTTCCTTGGCAGGAACGCGGCAAACGCCGGGTTTGCCTTTGCTTTTCTTTCTTCCTTGGGTCAGGAGGGGTTCCTGGCTCAGCAGCCCCCAGAGCTGTAAATCCTCTGTAATCAGGCAGGTGCAATGCAGATTCCCCGCCCGGCTCACCCAGTACATTTCCACTGCCACAGCAAGGGGGGAGCTGGGGTTACTCCCTCTGACCCAGCCACTCCTTGGCCTCTCTGCCAAGCCTGGTGAGGATTTGCTGCTGGCTGACACAATAAACCCATTTCTCCCTTAAAATCATTGCTCAGCCTATGGGCCAGACTCTGAAAAACTGCCTGGCTCGCCTCCACTTCTATCAGCCACCCACATTTTGGTTTAAGGGCAATATCCTTCCCCCTCTGAAAATTATTAGAACTTTTAGCATGGACTTCTGGGGGACATTGGCCTAAGAAAGGAAGTAAAAACTGTTGTAAGTATTTTACTTGGCAATGCAGGTTGTACTTTTTAGGGCATTTGTCCTGTTTACCCAGGAGGAATAAATCCAGCAGGGGTTCAAAGCCATTTAGGAAATGCTGATTTTTAGGTGAATGTCTGTGTGGCTAAGAGTTTGATCCCTGCCTTTCCATGGACTCTCCTGGTCATTTTTCCCACTCCATGTACTTCTGTCATTTGGGGTTTTTTTTATCACCCCTGCACAGTTTGAGTGTGAGCAGCTGCTGTTGCTGAAAGGTCAAATCGAGTCAAGATCAGCCTCCTGGCAGGTGTCCAAGCAGGATTTGGGGTTCCTCCTCTGTGAGTCCTCACCCCAAAGCTCCTCTCCAAGGCCCAAACCTCTTTTTTATATAACCTACAGGATTCATATTTTCCTAAAATACATAGACCAGAGCCTGCAGCTCTCCAAAAAGTGGCTGTTGTCCCCCCTCTGTGTTGGAGTTGCTTGCAGGTCTGCTCCAGGTCTCCACTGTGGGGTGTCCCCAGGGGAACTTGTTCACCGCAGCGTCCCCGATGCCTCATCTCACACGGCGTTTTCCTTTCTCTCCTAAAAAATGCCAGAACAAACTGGGAAGAGGACAAAGGGTAAGAAAAGTGACCCGAGAAGGAAAGGAAGAGATGGTAGAAAAAATAGCCCTGAGAAGACAGAGAAAAGGAAATCAGTCAACGAAACTGTATTGGGACAACTGGGTAAGTCTGATTTTATGGGCACGGAGACTGCTGGAGACTCCCTGCTTTGGGGAGCAGGGTTGAAGAGTCCCAGCCCCTGATCCCTCCTGCACGTACATGCTGGAGTTACACCTTCCACCTCTCCCTTGTGGAAATCAACCTGAATTATCCAGGTCCTGTGAGAGAGACTGGGTCCAGAAGATGGTCCTCGGAGGGGCAGGGAGTGTAAAATCCCCCCTGTGACCCCTGGATTGGGAGAATGTGTTACAAAACCTGTGGTGTGCTGCTGGAGCATGACTTTCGCTTTTGGGGGATAAAATCAGACTTACCCAGCCCGAGGTGGGGCTGCTCCCCCATGTCCTCCCTGCTGCACAGCGATGGCGAGCACAGCACGTGGGCTGGGAGTCCTCCTGGCATGTACTGCCTGAGCACAAATCCCGCTCTGTCACCAAATTTTTCAGCAAATTCTTGAATTGTTTGTCTGCCACCTTTGCAGGGGAATGTATTTGCCCCCGTGCTGGGGTGGGTCGTTGCTTGACATCTTCGCTGAAGAAAGATGCTTGATTTGGATTCAGGGAGGTTCACGGAGTGTTGCGTGTGAGGGACAACTCAGGTTGTCGTGCTGTGACCTCAGTGAACCCCAAATTCAGCATCAGTGCTGGAGTAAACCCTCCTCTGTCCTGGTGTGCTGTTTAGAGTTGACCTTTTGAGAGTTCCTCCGGTGCTGGGGAGTTCCAGTGAAGTTGGTGGTGGTGGTGGTGGTGGAGGACAATGTGGCTGTTCCCGGCTTCTGAGCCAGATCTTCCATTCTTGTTTTTTTCCAGGCTTGTCAACCTCCTTCCCCATCGACGGGACCTTCTTCAACAGCTGGCTGGCGCAGTCGGTGCAGATCACCGCGGAGAACATGGCCATGAGCGAGTGGTCCCTCAACAACGCCCACCACGAGGACAGCACCCCCGGCCTCTCCGAGGAGCTCCTCCAGGACGAGGAGACCTTGCTGAGCTTCATGATGGACCATTCCCTCAGGTCCCCGTTCAGGCAGAGCGAGGCCACAAAGAAAGTGAAAAGCAGAACGAGAACGAACACTAAGAAAAAGCTGCCGAGGAGCAGCCCCCCCGCCGTGGGCGGGGGCCACCCGGAGGGCTCGGAGCCCTGGACTAACAACGCCAGCAGCTTGTCGGATGATCCCGCCAAGCCCTTCGCTCTGGATTCCAGGCCGAGCAAGTCGGAGAAAGGGGCGGCGAAGCTTCCCAGCGACCGCAGAGGGACGGGCGAGGCCAAAAGGGCGGCCAAGAAGGGCTCTCTCCAGAAAGCCAGCGAGCCTCACCCCCCTGCCGGGACACGGGGCTGCGTCAGCAGGGAGGACGAGGAGGAGGAGGAGGAGGAGGAGACGCCGCGCTGCGCTCAGCCCGAGCCCAGCCCCGCGGCCAAAGTGCCTGACTCCGTAGGTAGCCCCAAAACCATCGTGCGGTTCAAATTACCAAAGGAGAGCCGGGGGGCGCGGCGCTCGCAGCCCCCCAAGCCCGAGGGCGCCGGCGGAGCTCCCCTGCGTCGCTTCGACGCCGACACGGACGGCTACTTCTCCGACGCCGAGATGAGCGACTCGGACGGGGAGCCCCGCGGCGGCCGGGCCCAGCGGGGCCAGCTGGACGCGGCCGGCGAGGACATCGTCAGGATGAGCATCCTGGCGTCCTAACTCCTCCCGCCGCCGCGCCGGCCCCTCGAGGCCTCTTCAACCCAGTTCCAACTGCCATGTCCCATTTCTGCCCGGCGTCACGGCGAGGGGGGTTTTTAATGTGTGTATATAGTTGGAAGTTCAGCACTGTTGTCCTTCTCTTCTCGATACGCCTGAGATACAGCTTCAGCTTCACCGCCATCGATGACTGTGACAGCAGTGGTCCCTCCCCGGCTCCCTGCCAGACCCCGCTCCCCAGGAACGCGAGCCGGCGCCCGGCGGGACCGATGCCGAGGGTGCCCGGAGGGTGGAGGGTGCCGGTACCTGTGCTTTCTGCAGGGGATGACAGTTCAATTAACGGGCATTATTTAATGAGGGGCGGGTTCCTGCCCGGGACGGTTGCCCTCAGAGCAGGGAGCGAGCAGAGGGTCCGGCAGTGACCAGCTGTGGGAGGGGAAATTCCCGCCCGTGTGTGCGCGGAGACGAGGAAGCAAAATAAGCGATACTAAAATAATTAATGACTAAAGCACAAAAAAGCTTGTTGGAGGAAAACGCTTGGGGTGGAGGAGAGCGATGTTGCATTTCTAGTTTTAGGAAAAAACACCCCTCGGTCTTTATTTTTCCCCTCACCTTTCCATCTGGTTGGGATCCGTCCAGGGGCCAGGATGCAAAATTTCCCCCCTTGCCCTTGCTGAGGTCGTTAGGAAAACTGAAGTGATTTACTCAGGTGAATGGATCAGCTGGCAGCAAGCTGGAAAATGGAAGCGTGGGGCAGGGTGGAGGAGAAAAGCATCCTTTAAAACCACCGTGGAGAGTCAGGGTTGGTGTCACCTGCGAAGTTGAGTGATTTTTTTCTGCCTGTGGTCCCACCACACCAGGCCGGCACGTTTGCAGTCCCCTTTGCACACCAAAACGATGGCCCCGAGGCCAAACGTGCCATCACCGAGGGGAAAAGGCAACCCTTGGCATCACCGTTGTGTTTTCCTACCAAACGCTACAGTGGAAATGGTGAATTTATTCCTCTCCATCCTTTGGGTTTGTTTTTTTTTTTTTTTTTTTAATTCCTTAAATCCTGGTTACAAGCTGTTGACTCGTTGTGGAGGGGTGATTCACAGAAGCTGACATTATAAATATTACAATAATTTAATGCATAAAATGTCCCCAATAAGCCTTAAATGTTGTTTAAAAGCCCATGTTACCTATAAGTCAGGCGAATTTCCATGTTTGCACTTAATTGCACCATTACTTCGGTTTTGGCTTCAAAGGTCACAGTTAAGTCATGCTACGTGTTTTATTGGAGTGACCCCAGTGTGAGCTCAGGGAACAAAAAAAAAAAAAAAAGGAATTCACTGAAACTTTTGTTGTTGTTGTTTTTTAAAAATAAAAAATGTAAAAAAAAAAAACTAAAAAAAAAAAAAATCACAAACAAAACCAACCCAAACCTGGGACACTTCTGCAACCGGTTAAACCCATCACTAAACAAACAAACCTTGCAATTGTCAAACCAATCAGTCAAAGAATTTTGTGGATGCCAAAGAAATATTTTGACAGTCAAGCAGCACAGCCAGAAACCGGAAACTTGTCACTATGAAAAAAATAAAAATTGGAAGTTATTTTAGCAACCAAGGACTAAAGACACACTCATACCACACTGCTGCGGCGTTAGGTTCCAAGCTTGCTCCGAGGGATGCTGCTGCTCCGAGACCGCATCCTGCCGTTTTGGTTTCTGATGCTTTTTTGCTCATTTCACTGTGAGCTTTCTTTTTGAAACTCTGAGACTCTTTTTCGATCGGTGTTTTAGAGTAGATCATCTTTTATCAGCCTTCCAAAGTCCTTATGATTGGTCAAACTGCAGCCCAGCTGATCCCAGGCACGGCGAGCGGAGCGGCGCGGGGGCTCCGGGTGGGATTGCCCAGCCCTGCCCACACCAAAACGCTCCCCCCGGCTGAGACTGACCGTGCCTGGGGAGGGATCTTCCTCAGGTGGGAAAAATGCGACACAAGTTATTAGTGGGGGGAAAACAGGGGAAAAAAAAATAAAAAAAGGAAAACAAACAAACAAACAAAAAAAAAACCACGGCAAAAAACCAACAAAACGGGAACCACCTTTGTTATAAATTAGCATAATCCACTGAGGTTGGAAATGAAAATCTGCTCATTAATTAAGGCTCAGTATGTTCGGATAATGTTAAATACAGTAAATAGGACTTAGTTTATCTTATCAGGCTTGCTAGCTTTAGCTCCAGTATCCTAGTATAAGAGTCATAACAATAATCAATATGCTGCCTTTTAATGAATCTTGCTTCCGTGTGCTTCACTCAATTATGGTTAAAAAAAAAAAGCAATCCACAAATTTCGCTGTACACAGCTCCATTCATCAGCTTCTGCACTACTTGTCTTCTCAGTACAGGAAAGCAAAAAGGGGGGACACTTTAAAGAACAACCAACCCTGCACCACCAGCACGGGGCAATAAACCAGTTTGAAACACTCCCAAAAGCATCAGGCATCGTGTTTTGCCATCAGGAGATGGCATTTAGGTGGGGAAAGCTGAGGGGGGGCTGGTGGGGCACAGGGAGAGGAATGGGATGGTGGGAATAGAGAGGAGGAAAGGGGTTGGTGGGATGGCTGGGGCCACCCCGGAGCATCCCCTGCCTGGTGCGTCCTCGGAGCAGGGGGAGTCTGGTGTTCTGGAGAGAAAATGCACAAGGAAAATATTTTTGATGTTAATGTAAATGTATTTTGAAATGAATAGAGAGAAGAAGAAGAAAAAAAAAAAAGGTTTATTTTAGTAGAGAAATGTTGTCTTTTAAGATGTATAATCTGCAGGAATCGACATTTGCACTGTAAGAGCACCTGTTTCCTTGGAGAAGCAGCAGCTGTTGAGGTGAGGATGCACAAGGCATCATGCCCTGATGGAGCACAGCCCCACACCAGCCCCAGCCCTGATGGCCGTGGGAGTTTCCCGAGGACAGCTCCCATTCCACGCTCCCATTTTCCCCACACCCGTCTTTCAGTTTTATTTTTCCTTTCCATTTTCTGGTTTGGTTTTTTTTTTTTTTTTTCACTTGCACCTGTTTTTTGGGGTTAGGATGCCTGCTGTCCCACGGAGCCCGCCCCGAGGTGGGACGCACAGCACAGCTGGGTGGGATGCAGGATGCAGGAAGATGATGCTGCTGCAGGGCAGGCCGTGAGGTTTGGTTGTTCTTTAAGGAAATCCCCCCCCAGTTTGCACCATTCCACACACAAAACAACCCACTTCACATCAGTTACAGGAAACGATATGAATGTCGCAGGAGGAGAAACCCTTCTGTTTTCTTTGTTTCAAAGAACGTGATGTGCCATTTGTTAATACAAAAGAGAACTATTGAAAATATATTGAAAAGAGCAATTTTAAATTATTTTTGGCTTATGTTGCAATATTTATTTTCTTGTATTAGAAATTCCTTTGTAGAGAAAAAATGTATTTTTCATTAATGCAAAAACCTATTTCTCCTTTTTGTACATTTTCCATGTTAGTTAATCCTTAAAGCAATATAATGTTATCAAACTCGTTCTGTGTGAGACTGTATTATGCATGCTATTTGTGTTGCCTTGGAATAGCTCTGTCTGCCATTATTTTCATCCTGTTTAGATACAGTGTATGCTTTAATACACATTGGGACCATGGCCCATTGCTTATGAAAAACCCCTTTGCATTCCTCAATGTGTTGGCAAATGCAGTCAATAAAGCAGTGTTTTCTGTGTACCTCGTGTGGTTGGAGTGAGCCAGTGGCACAGAGCAAACTCACTCAGGGACAGGAGAGCCCATGGAGCATCCCAGGGATGCTGGGTCAGCCCTGCTGGTGCAGCCACTCTGCCTGTGAATAGCAAATTCCTCAACTTCCCGTTGCATTTCCATTTACATTTCCATCCCAGACCTCAGCCAGCCCCTTGGAAAAAGCAGTTGGAGACATTTGTCACAGCTGGAAGGGCAAGCCCGAGCAAGAGGATGCTCTCAGAGTCCCCCAAGCCCAAAAGTTTCTCTAATTCGAGGTAACCACCTTTCTCCCGGAGATTTAAGTCTTGTTTTGCAGATTTGGAGCGAAACCCACAGGGGGAAAGCTCTGCTGTGAGCTGGGATGCTCAGAGGATCAGCTTCTTGCACCAGGAGCTGGGGTAGCAGGCAGGGAAAAACGCTGCTAGATTTGCTATTCGTGGGAGCAAAGGCAAGCTGTGAAATCCAAATTACTCCAGCACTGTGTTGCTGTTTGCCAGACACTCCTTGTGCTCCTGCTGATACCGACTAGCAACCTGATCTAGTGAGTGGCATCCCTGCCTGTGGAAGGGGATTGGAACTAAATAGGGTCCCTTCCAACCCTTTCTGTGACTGCTGCTGTGGGCTGGGGTTGATGGGCCCAACCTGTGGAGTGTGGTGAGAGCACAGCTTTAAAAACTTGAAGGGGATCCACATCTTCCTGTGAATACTTGGCTGGCTTGGAGGCCAAAGGCAAGGGTGCAGCCTTGTTTCAGCAAGTACTGGAGTCATCAAAGAATGGCTCTTTTTTTCTGCCTTCATGGCATTTCCTGGCACATTTTTCTTCTGTAGAATTGTCCAAGTGCCCAAGCTGCTGAAGGAAAATGAGCTGTTTAATAGACATACTTGGTGCAATTTATTAGCAAAGTGATTAATTGGGGAAATCACAGTGCCTGGTGAAGGCAGCACAAAACCCATCAATCTGAGATGGGTCTTCTGAGGGGTGAGCGGAAGAAACTCACCTTAAACTGTCACGGGCTCATATGTCACTGAAAGGAAAAGGCAAAGGAGCAGTTCATTGCAAGGGAAGGATTTCATTACTGGGCTGTGTTATTGCTCACAGCTCTCGAGGCACCCCAGTGATGAACTCAAACTCCTGGCTGGTCCCCAAAACCCCACAGTGCAGGCACGATGCCCACAGCATCGTGCATGAACCCGCCTGTCCAAAGCCAGTTCAGTCTTCTGTAATAAGTTTTTCACCTGTCTTAGGCAGGGAGATACTAAAGAGTGTGATTCCATCAAGCAGGGAGTGAGGTCAGCCTGCCTGTCGTGGTTTGACCTCAACCAGCAACCCCCTTTCCCAACTCACCTTTCCCAGCAGCACCACATCACCCTTCTCCTACAGCCCAGCCTGAGAAATGATTCCCCAATAAAGGCAGAAAAAGCCCTTCTTAGCAATAACATATATTTATAGGCACTTGGAGCACAGAGGGTTTCCCTGTGTTGCTCCCTTGCGGTTTGCCTGCGGTGTCCTCATCACAGGTGGTGCTGAGTACCTCGATCTGGAGCGAGCAGCCAAGGAATCATTTCAATTTAATTGCAGAATAAATGTTAGGCCAGCCCCTATATGTTTTGCATAAGGATTGCAAGTGCCACCATAAATCCTAATGGGGCAAATGCACCCCAGTGTCAGTAAATCATCAGCCACGGATGTGGAAAGGAATTAATTTTCCTTCAGCTTTTCCTGGAAGAATTGCAGTAAGACCTTGTTTTATTGTGTTTGATTAAGTGCTGGTGGTATAACATAATTTCCCCTAACCATTAAAACCGCTGGTGTTGTACTTCTGCATAAACGCCTCTAATGTGATGAGAGCACATTTAATATTTACTCTTCCAAAGTTAATACATTTAGGGGAGACGTTCTGGGCGCTAAAAATAGTTCCTTGGCCTTGGATTTCCATGTAGGGCTGTGAAATGATGCGTCTGCTGTGATTGCAACAGATGAATAATAATAATAATAAAAAAACAACCTCTAAAAAAATAAACAAACCTATGACTAACCCAGAAAACAAGGGAAAAATCCCACTGCAGCCAATGCCCACCCTGGCTGATCCAACAAACTCACTCCCTGTTCATTTAATGCACAAGTCAAAAATGGACTCGTGGAGGGTCTAACCAGGCACTTTTCTCATGGAAGGTTTATCCAGGTACCTTTTTTGCACAGAGGCTTACCTTGGGGATGGGCTGGGACTGGCATTGCTTGCAGGCAGCTCTTTCTTGTCTTGTGATGGCCCCACATGGATCTCCAGATGCACCACGGAGTTGTGGGTGGGGAGATGCTCAGCCCCCAGCCAAGTTTTGGGGGCACAGGGAGCCCACAGCTTTGCCTGTCTCCATCCCTCATCCACGAGAGGCTTCTTTGGGCACGAATCCTGGACTTTGCCTGCCATGGGGTATAAATCATGCAAACAGCAGTTTACATGGGAATCAGGAGGTAAGAGGAATGCAGCTCCCTTCCAGAATCAGGACTCTGCTGCTGGGGGAGGTGTTTGTGCTGTGGGTGCCCTGAGAAACGAGCCCTGGGGGGCTGTCTGTGAGCCCTGTGTGCAGAGTTTCCCCCAGTGCAGGGATTTTGGCATTTCCCAAAGCGTTGGGACGGTGTTTCCCAGCTAAACCCACTCTGCTGAGCATCAAATGCAGTGTTTTCCCTCAGGAGGAGCTGCTGTACATTCAGATGTAATAAAGATTAAAATAATGGACTGCCTGGGCTTATATTTTAAGTGGTGCTTCATAATGCTGACACTGAGCAGGAGGAGAGAAAGCAGAGGTTAAACCAGTGCTGTTACACTTGATCATTAGCCCTGCAATGAGCCCAGGAGGGTCGGATCAATGAAAGGGAGATTTTCCTGGGAGACAGGCAGGTCAAAAAGCAAAATAACAGATCTGCAGCCACAACTCCTGGGAAAATGATTCTCAGGAGGGAGATGCCCTGTTTGGTCAGGACCCTGCTGCCACTAGAGCAGGACACCGGCCATCCACGTGGGAATGGACCTGCCACATGCTCTGCCTCCATCCAGGCATCTCCCTGGATTGCAGCACCCCTGCAAGAGAGAAAATTCCCTGCAGCAAACAAGGTACCAAAAGCCCCTTCCAAGAATGCTCAGCTATAAATAGGTGTTTGTTGTTGTGTGGGATACCACAAATAACACTCACACTGCACAGAGGGACCGGCAGGCGGGGGATGAATTCCTGCCCTTAGCAAGACAGCAGGATCAATAAAGCACTTCTGAAAGAGGGAAATCGGCAATTTTTGCAGCTCCAGCTTTAAAATAAGTCTGGGGGATAAGCAGCATCTCTGTGTGGCCAGAGGCAGGCTGGGGACACACATGCCCTGTGCCACGGGCATCACCTGCTTGGCACCAGCTCCTCTCTAGCAGTAAAAGGACTCGAGGCTGTTTTTTTTAGCCTATCTGAGCCACGAGGATGCCAAGGCACAGTCCAGCCACAGGGCAGCAGCACATTTATTGGCAGGACAAGAGCCAGGCGTGTGCCAAGCCATGGGGACTTCGGTCACTGCTCTAATCTGAAGCCTGCAAGCATCTCCCCAGTCCTGTGTGTGTGCTAGACAACAGCTCTAAAACTGGCTCAGAC